CCCCAAAACCCCAAAACCCCAAAACCCCAAAACCCCAAAACCCCAGGTGAATTAAAGCCAGCTGAATTAGGATAAAGTAATATTAAATAATTTCTTATTACTAATCAAACCCTTTCTTTACCATGAATATCAATTATGACAACTATGATAACAAATGTGCCACCCTTGCTAGTGATGAACCACACCCATTCCAAGAACAAGAACCATGCTTTGTGGCATTCGGAGTTCAAGAAAGCTTCTCAAGAGATGCTAAGCGCGACTTCCCCAGTGGTCTGGCTTTCCACGATGAGAAGAGCTTCGACAGCTGCTCTCTGCTGGCTCACGACGACTTCCGCAGCTGCTTCGACCCAGAAATCAACGAGAACCTCAGAGACCTCAGTGTGTTCAAAGCCTTATCGACCAACGAAAAGTCTCATTCGAGTCTCGCAGACAGCTGGCTGGCCCCAACCGGTAATAAAGTAAGCGTTACTGGAAAGCCCGAACAGACTGAAGCTTCACCGCAAAAGGCCAGGAACGGGTCTGGGATCAAAGCTGTGCACAATTTATTGAGCTACATCGAGGATGCTGTTGACAACGGAATCAAGGGTTCATCATTAACTGCGGGCAGACCAAAACAGGAATTCGACACATCTTCGGAACGGTTACTGAATTTCTACAACGATTACGTATCGCAACTTCAGTACCTTATCGAAACAAACTTTAACAAAAAGAGATCAGATACTTTCAGGAACACAATCTTTAGTTATTTAAAGAAGCTTCCAATAAAGCTACGTGAAATTTGCTGTAGCGTTTCTGAACCAAAATCTAAGAAATTGGAGGTATATTTGGGTGCTTTTCTTACATCATTCATTACCTGATTTTTACCGTACGTTCCTACTGACACCACTGGATTCTCAAAAGTTGAGCTCTTCTTGTACTTCATATGTATCTGTTATCCGGAAGAAAAGGTAAAAAGGATAATCAATCTATGAATTCAACAGAACTCATTGTCTCAGGACAAAGGAGAACAAATTTTAAAATCATTATCCTTGAGAAAGGGAAAGTCTAAGAAGGAGATACTGATGTTTATTAACTCTAACCCTTGCTTTGGGATGTACTCGCAACATATTTGCCGCCAACTCAAGTGCCATAATTTTGACGAGCAAGCTACCCTAATGATCAAAGACTTTCTATAAATTACCGTAAATTTAATTATCCTTAATTTATTCAATAACGGAAATTACTTGAGGGGTTTTGGGGTTTTGGGGTTTTGGGGTTTTGGGG